AATTCATTTTTCAGTGCGTTGATGGATCCCATTCGTCTGTATCCTTTTTCTTTGTCTGGCTTATTTTTCCTGTAGCTTCTATCATAGACTGTGAACACTGGCAAGTGATCACTGATATCATTGATTAATAACCCACTTACTGTGTGGTTTTCAATGTCATTGTTAAATATATTATCTATTAAGGTGGCACAATGGGATGTCACTCTACTGGGTCTAGTTATTTTCAGAAATAGGCTCAGACTATACATTGTATTGATAACTTCATCAGTAGTTTTGTGCTTGTTAGGATTAAACAGGTTAATATTAAAATATCCACGTATGAAAATAGCTTTGTTATTTATTTTAGAAAACATGCCCTCTATCCAGTCTGTGAACATGTCAATACTTGACCCTGGCGCCCTATATATACAGCCAATTATGACATTTTTTATTTTTTTCCTTGTAGATTTCAATTGTTATACTTTCTAATAGGTTGTCAACCACAGTTGTCATACTGTCCACCACACTAAAGTGCATAGTTGTATCCACATGGCAACTCCTCCTCCTCCCTTATTTGGTATATTTTTGTATCTGAGCTCATATCCATCCAGCTCAAAGTCTATGCCCTTTTCGGTATTGATCCAGGTTTCAGAAATAGCAATAATGTTGATTAGTACATTTATGTAAATATTCTCTGATGTTGTTAAAGTTTGCATACAGGCTTCTGCTATTGTNTTTGTGTCTGAATCTTCAGTTTGACTAACTCTCTTTACACTCGCACAACATATCTCTGACCCAAACCATGTTCTGAACAGTGAATATGAACTGCTACCATCTAATCGGAGATACAGGGTCCCACCATTCAATAAAGTCAGACTGAAGCACTCCTTTGTGCATCAGTCAATCCTCACAGTAAACACAGAGCTAAATCCCAGATCAAATGCACGCTGAAGGTTCTTTGAGCAGCTTTTCTCTCACTGATTGTGCTGTTATGTTAAATGTTTGTTGTTTTTGTTTCATGTATTGTGTCTGGATACTTGTCTGTTGATGTTGGACATGGAGCTGCTGTGACGCAAGTCAAATTTCAGACTTGATCTGACAAATAAAGTATTATCGTATCGTGTAATATATGTTTCCATATTTGAAAAGCACAAGTTTCATTATAACTTTCTTCATCAGTACATTGGGACTTTAGGAGGAAGCTCACCTGACATATGTTCTCCTTTAAGGATGCAGGACCCCCTCGGTCCCTATGATCTTCCTTGAGGGTGACAGAGGATCGTCACAAGCGACAAGTCGTCATTCATGGAGGAGAAGCTTGATCCAAGCAGGACGGCTCAGCCTAAAGAAAAGAAGGTGTTATTGTGATTTGTATGAGTTTTGTATTTTTTCTTGTTTATTGATTTAAGTATTTTGGTTATGGTGGTGAAGTGTTCTAACGAGTTGTGTTTTATATAGATCAAAAAATTGTCCATAAAGGACTTGTGGAATAGCTCTTTTCCGTGAGTATATAATGTTTATATTGTAAATAAAATGTAAATAGCAAATTTTCTAATAAAAAAATTAAATAAAAGAAGGTACAATTTACTACATCCATAAATTAGGGCTCATTTTGTATTCTCATCTGTCAGTTCCTGTAACGATCTGTCTGTGTTTTATTTTGTATTGTCAAGATCTGTCTTTGTTTTCCCGATTTTGAAAGGTGTGCACCCCCCTGGTTATGTCTGCTTCCTTGGTGTTTCTCAAATGTCCAGGATCCTTGGAATTCTACCGAGGCCGGCGTACTTCGTTGCAGGACATTTCGAGGCTGCACATGTGTATCCTCCGCGGTCTTGCGCACGGACCGCGGAAATCGCGCTCCATTTAAGGCGGGGACTCGCATATGAGCACACCTGCACACCCGTTAGCCTAGGAAGGATTCTTGCCTCGCTTCTGAAGGACCTGACTCGGAAGACATGTCCTACTAAGGAAGCGTCCTCGACATTGAGAAACACCCACTGTCTCTGGCCGTTTTTTCAATCTCGAGATACTGGCTTCCAAGCCAATATTTCAAGGATGCTACGTCAAGTGGCGCAGCAGGACCGTTCCAATGTCCAGCATACTTGAATTCCACCGAGGCCGCGTCCTTGGTTATGTCGTGGCGTCCTTAAAATCCCACAATGCTAATAGGCGGGGCCATATGACGCACACCTGCACACTTGCTAGCCTGTTCCACTCTTCGTTTTCCGAATGCCAGGAAGGATTCTTGCCTAGCTTCTGAAGGAAGTGACTCGGAAGACATGTGCTACCAAGCAGGCGTACTCGCGATTGAGAAAACCCGCCGTGTTTCCCTCCGGTTTGATTGGCTGATTGTGTTCACCTGGTGCCCCTTGTGACTTGTTGTGAGTTCCTTGTTGAAGTTGAATGTGTTCACTGGGGAGAGTTCTGCTCTGTATGTGAAGTTGATGGAAGGATTTTGTTCTGAGCGATTTTATGTTTTGCCTTGCCTTGTTTTACTTTGTTTGCCTGGCCAACTGTAAAAATGTGTCTTTGATTCTTATATACATATTTGCATACGTATTTTTGTATACATTTGTTTTTATATTCAGGATTGTGGGAAACGGTATTTCGATCTATCTGCCTGTACACACAAACTGGAAGATTGACAATAAAGTTGACTTTGACTAGTTCGCAAATTACGTTTTTTTTTGTTTTCAACCAATCGTCTGCATTTGGGTGCTTGTACCTTGCCCTCCAGCCATGACAGTTCCTGCAAGCATAAGGAGAAGAAGAGGAAAAAGGGCTGACCTCTGATTCTGTCGACTCCTTCTTGTCCTCGGCTTGAGGAGCATCAATGTCTGCTGACGGTGTTTCCTCCAGCGTGGGTTCAGGTGATGGAGGTGCTGGAGGGGAGGGGGCAGGAGATTTGGGAGGAGGGTCTGTGGTGGAGCTGGAGGATACCTCTGTTGAGCTGGAGGCTGTGGGCTGCCGAGTCTTTGATTTTAAAGATGGCGGTCCAGCATCTGGAAGTAAGAAAGACGTGTTAGAAAAAATAGAATAAGGCAGGGTAAAAATACAAGATTAAAAGAAACGATGTTTTGGAATAAATTAATATTATTGGATTTGATCAAATGCAGCAGCAAACAGAAATTGAGGTTAAACAATTGTTTATTAGAGTCAACACAGAGCAGGGGGGTATACTACGAAGCAGGATTTTCACTTAGCCGGCTAACTTCAGGGAAACTGGGGTTCCGGTCCTAAGTATTATTTTAGAGGCTGTATTCACCTTGCAGGTGCAGGTGGCTTTATCCTGGTGTGTTTAAGTCATGGATGTTTAAAGTTTAACTTCTTCATATGTCTAATATATAGTTGACTTTTCATTCAGGAAGTATGACGCTGCGCTGTCAGTACGCTTCTCCATGTTTGTGATTGGTCGAATGCTCCAAATACCACCCCTTTCATGTGAAGCGCACCTAACTAGAGAGGCACGGCTGGCTTGAGCGTCCACTTGATAACCTGCGTCGTAGTACCGTTTAGTGAGAGCGCGTATGTTTTGGATTAGGCCAACCGGCTAAGTCAAACATATCCAGGTTAGGTTGAACCAGCTTCCTAGTACAGGCCTCTGGTCCATCCCAAACTTTGTTTTTGTTATCTAGATTCTGGATCATTTAAAATCATATTTTAAAATCTAAAATAATCTTTACTTGTCTGCAAATTCAGATCTGAAGATGTGATGCGAAACATTGCTTCAGTTTGACTTATTTTAACATTTTAAAGTTATTTTCAAACAAAACAAATGCACACAATGAAAATGATTATTATATGCTTATAATGCATTCCACTATTGTATAAATATAGACTGTTGTAAGATGATTCACTTACCTGACTGAGGAGCAGGATTTGAATTGTTCTTTAGTGTTTTGACCTGTGGCAAGAGAGACATATTTATGTAAAAGTGACGGCATAACAACATCACCGTTAAAACGTCCTAATTCATGACGTGAATTAAAGTGTACAATATCTGCCTCTGAGATTTAGATGAGTCTAAAGTAGCATTCAATTGAAATTCTACAGTAAATAAAAGAATTACAGATGTACTAGTCAAAGTCAAAGTTATTGTCAATCTTTCAGTTTGTGTGTACAGAGAGATCGAAATACAGTTTCCCACAATCCCAAATACAAAAACAAATATATATACAAATATGTGTGCAAATATGTGTATCCTATATATACACAATCAAAAGACACATTTATACATATGCACACATTAAGACCTAAATAAAAGCACAACAATCAATATATACAAAAATAACAGTCACTTCAATATTTTTGAAAATGTACATTAGTGCAAGACTGTCCATAGCAGCGCAAATAAAAAAAGTGTCTGTCTGTCTGTCTGTCTGTCTGTCTGTCTGTCTGTCTGTCTGTCTGTCTGTTGTTGTGTGTGTGTGTGTGGTGTTACTACAGATTCAACAGAGGTATATTTACCTTTTTCTTGGGGCCCGCTGAGGCCTCTGCCTCCATACAGTACTCCAGGATCTTCTGAGTGGGTTTCCTCTTCCGCTTCCTCTCCAGCACAGGAGCGCTTCCTGTGAAATAAATGTAACACAGAAGACTCAATGCATTGTTGCATATTTAAGTCAGTGTTAAGCAATCGTTTTAGCTTAAGACCCTCTGGAACTCCCTCCCTCTTGAAATCATCACCGCTGAAAACGCAATCAAAACACATCTGTTTGTCAGGGCCTTCAGCCTCAGTTAACTCTCTCCTCTGCATTTTTGTTACCAGTTTTTTTTATCTTCTTATTTTCTCGTCCCTGTTGTTTGCATTTTTGTCCCCCCCACAGCCTCTCATCTTATTGTAAAGCGTCCTTGGGTTTCTTGAAAGGCGCTTATAAATCCAAGTTATTATTATTAAGCATCATAGTTTGCTAAGTTGCTAAGTTTTGCTAAGGTCCAATAAAGGAAAACCTAATCTTCCAGGATAGAATCTTTAACAACAAATGTTCTTCTTAAAGTTAAGGCCCTTAGACAAGAGACTCAAACACTTCCTTACTCACCGTTGCCTTTGACGAGGCCTTCTGACAGCAAATGGTCAGCTTCAGGAGGAGGGGTTAGTGTGTCGATGGAAAGTACAGGTGCATCTTGGGTAGATGTGTTTTCAGTGTTGGGAATCTGTAGTGCAGACGGTGTTGTTGTAGGAATTTCCTCAGGAGGTGGCGTCTGTATCTCAGGAGGCAAATTCAAGGAGGGGTGGTCGTCCTGTGAGCTGCTGTCAGATCCCGGGTGTTCGGACATAACGGGTTGAGTTTCCTGTAGAAACAAATTACTTTATTTAATTGTCATTCATTGATAAAAGGTTCATGTGTAGCCCGAGACGTGATATTGAAGGCTTAATGCCATAGCATTATGTATTGTAACAACATATGTTATAAAGTTACAACAGATCATACTTTGTATGAGTTTTACCTTTCCAATCAACTGGAGAGGCTTTTTGATTTTCTTCCTGGTGGAGAAAATCTGATCATACTCTTCAGTCCATTCAATCAGTCTCTTGCTTGGTTTTCTTATTCGTTTGTGTGCTGAAAAATATATATAAGGAAATACACTATATGTTTTAGTATTTGTTGGTTATAGTGTGAAATGAAGTAGAATAAATTAGAAGACTTTCATATATCTTATCGCTCTTCTACCTTGGCACCACTATTTGTGAGAGTTAGCCTAACTGCTAACACGTAGCAATCAAACAAAGAACAGTTGCTTTGGACACCTACAGTCTAATGTTGCCTTCAAATGGGTCTTGTTAAATCTGTTTACAAGAAGAATTCAAATGAACACCCCCCTCTCAGAGAGATATTCTAAAATCTGAAATTACATCAGTGACATGACATGTTGTAAAATGGCGGGGGCTATGGACATCTGGCTGGTTATCTATAAACAACCGCAGTACCTGAGTTCTTGGTGTGGTTTCCTGTCATTATGTTGTTGTAGCAACTTCTTTGTGCCAAGTTTACACCAAAATTGAGTAAATACATGGAAAACCTTTAGCTAAGGAGATGGAAGCAACTAACCAAGAAAGGCAAGAGTTGGTCAAAGTCCTGAGCTTGTTGATTTGAGAAACATACAATAACTACAATTTATTGTTGTCTTAACAGCACTTGAATGCACCAAATATGTGGATCAAATTGTGCTTTAGTTACTTTGGGCTGACAATAAACTAGTATTACCTTTTGGAGCCTTGTCACTTCCTCCAGTGTCGCGCATGAAGCTCGTGGTCGTCTCAGTACCATCTGCAACGAGGCCATTTGGCTGTTCCAGACACAGCGTAGTGTCACATCCCCTCTGCTCCAAAGGCACCATGTTCTGTAGATTCTCATTTACTCTACTCCACGTATCATCCTCCTCCCCAACTACTCCTTCAGCTCCTCCAGCGTGCCTCTCCCAGCTGCTGGCCTCTATGCCAAACAGTGACTTGTCTCTTGACGAGCAATCGAGTCCTGATGAAGAGTCTGTGGTCGGCAATGACTCCAGTCCTGGGAAACCAGGGCCAGACCTGGCGGGACGACAAGGCACCTCACGGTTGGCTTTCTTTTTTACCCTAGTTGAGCTGATTCTTCTTTTATAGGGCCTCTTGGATGTCTGACTTGTGCTCCCCTCATTGTGTTTGTTTTCAACTTTGTCTGGACTTGAATTTGAATCATTTTTAACCTGTTTAATTTGTGGATCTTGGCCTGCGGATGTAGCCTCCCCAGGCATCACTAAAGGTTCCTCCTTCACATGTGCACTTGGTGGCCCAATGTCAAGCTCTAAAGGGGTCCCCTCTCGCTCTCTAGTGTCATGCAAGTCCTTCAACATCATGAGAAAAGTGCTGAACTTGTAGCTTGTGTCTGCTTTGAAAGAGATGGGTTTACCTTCACCCTCATTTGTCAGGGACTGGAAGGATACCTCCTCAATATTTTTAAAGGAATTGATAAAAGAAAATGGTGAGGAAGGTGCAGACGACGAGCGCTGCATGTCAGAGGATTGATCTTCATTCTTTGCCTTTACCCTAGAAGTAAGGGGTATGAAGTCCATTGGAGGAGTTGAGGATATGGAGAGATCTTCATCTTCACTCTTCACATCCAAGTCAGCTGAATCAGGACGTGTCAAAGGGGAAGTGCTAGAGCTAGAAGTGTCCTGGTCAAAATCATTGTCAGTACGAGTTTTGATTTCAGTGCAAAAGTCCAGTTTGGAGTTAGATGCAGAGTTGCATGCCACATGCTCAGTTGTTTTGTATAGATTTAAGAGTTCTTTGTGCTCTGCCTTCTTTCTGACTTTTTCTCGCTTTGTTTCTTCCACCTCCTGCATGGCCTTCAGGGCTCGAGTCATCAACCGACCGCTCGCTGGGAGGTGAGTAGGCTGCTCATGGAGTACGATTCTATTGACTTCATCTGAAACCAGCTTTAATTTGGAGACAACTTTCTTGGCTTTTACAGAAGATGGAGTTTTATCAAAAGCTGTACTATTGGCAGAGGTCATTTTTTGTTCTGAGTTGCCTAACTGGTCTGTGGTCATGCTTGATTCATTGGATGCAAGAGTCTTCCTACCTTCTGATTGGTTTGACAATGAGTAAGTCATGTTGCTTACATTTAAAACTGGTACCCTTTCCGATTCTTGACTACCCAACTCATCAAGCACATTTGCCACTTTGGATGTAACAATAGGTTTATCGTGTAAGGATTCTGACGAGAGACGGAGGACACCTGTCCCACCACTTGCTTTTACCTTCTTAACTGAGATCTTTATGGATTCTGAACTGACTGCACGATCAATGGAGATACTTGCCTTGCCGTTCACCCAATCTGATTGTTTAGAGGACATTTCAGGTACTTCAGCATCTGGTATTTCATCCTTTGTACATCCAGGTTGGTCATTGGGATTAAGGGTCACAGTGGAGTTAAGGAACTTCTTACCCTTCATGTCCTTGCGTATTAATTTTACAAAAGGTAGCCTACACTTGGAGAGTAGACTTGTTTGCATTTCTAGCCTTGCTATTGGGTCAAAAGCATCAACATTTAACCTGGCTGATGAAGTATTTTCTTCTGCCATGTCAGAAACCCTTTCGATTACTTCGACCTTGTTATTAGCCTCTGTCTCTGAATGTTGAGTGTGAATGATCTTCTTAGCACTCAACCTTTTACGCTCCTTTCCTTCTGCTTGGTCAGAAACCTTGTCGATTACTTGGACCTTTTTATTAGCCAGTGTGTCTGAATCTTCAGTTTGACTAACTCTCTTTACAATCAACTTCTTTCTTTCTTTTTCTTCTGATTGGTCAGAGACTCTGTCAATTGCTTGGACCTCTTGACTAGCCACCAAGTCTGAATGTTGGGAATGACTGATTCTCGTTGCACACTGCTTTCTCTCTTTCTTTTCTGCTTGGTCCGAAACCCTGTCGATTACTTGGACCTTTTTATCAGTCTTTGTGTCTGAATCTTCAGTTTGACTAACTCTCTTTACACTCGACTGCTTTCTCTCTTTCTTTTCTGCTTGGTCAGAGACTCTGTCAATTGCTTGGACCTCTTGACTAGCCACCAAGTCTGAACGTTGAGTATGACTGACTATTTTTGCACTCAACTTCTTAATTTTCATTTCTTCTGATCGGTCAGACATTCTTTCAACTACGTGGACTATTTCATCAGACATTCTGTCTGAATGTTTAGTTCGACTGAAGCTCTTTACACTTAACTTTTGTATTTGTTTATCTCCTCTTTGGTCAGAAACCCTGTCAATTGCATGGATATTTTTAGTAGCCAACATGTCTGAATGTGGATTTTGTCTGACTGTCTTTACACGAAGCGTTTTACTTTCCTTTTCTTCTGATTGGTCAGACATTCCGTCAACTACAGTGTACTTTTTATCAGCCATTGTGTTTGAATGTTGAGTTAGACTGGCTCTTTTTTTACTCAACCTTTTACTTTCTTTTTCTGCTGCTTGTTCAGAAATGCTGTCAATTTCATGGACCTTTTTATTGACCACCGTGTCTGAATGTAGAGTTAGACGTGCTCTTTTTTTACTCAACATTTTACTTTCTTTTTCTTCTGCTTGGTCAGAAATGCTGTCAATTTCATGGACCTTTTTATTGACCATCGTATCTGAATGTTGAGTTGGATTGGCTTTTTTTTTACTCAACTTCTGACTTTCTTTTTCTTCTGCTTGGTCAGAAATGCTGTCAATTTCATGGACCTTTTTATTGACCATCGTATCTGAATGTTGAGTTGGATTGGCTTTTTTTTTACTCAACTTCTGACTTTCTTTTTCTTCTGCTTGGTCAGAAATGCTGTCAATTACATGGACCTTTTTTGTAACCATTGGTTCTGAATGTACAGTTGGATTGGCTTCTTTTTTACTCAACTTTTTACCTCTTTTTTCCTTTGCTTGGTCACAAATCCTATCAATTTCATGGACCTTTTTATTATCCATTGAGTCTGAATGTTGAGCTTGACTGCCTCTCTTTCCACTCAACATTTTACTTTCTTTTTCCTTTGCTTGGACACAAATCCTGTCCATTTCATGGACCTTTTTACAAGCCGTTGAGTCTGAATGTTGAGTTTGAATGACTCTCTTTGCACTCAACTTTTGACTTTCTTTTTCTTCCGATTGGTCAGAAATCCAGTCAATTACTTGGACCGTTTTACCAGCTATTGGGTCTGACTGTTGAGTTTTGCTGTATTTCTTTACACTCAACTTTTTTCTTTGCTTTTCTTCTGCTTGGTCAGAAATCTTGTCGATTACATGGACCTTTTTGCTAGCTGTTGTCTCTGAATGTTGAGTTTCACTGAATGTCTTTACATTCAACTTCTCACTTTCTTTTTCTTCAATCCAGTCAATTACTTGGACCGTTTTACTGGCCATTGGGTCTGAGTGTTGAGTTTTGCTGAATTTCTTTACACTCAACTTTTTTCTTTGCTTTTCTTCTGCTTGGTCAGAAATCCTGTCGATTGGATGGACCTTATAATTAGCCATTGTGTCTGAATGTGGAGTTTGACTGACTGTCTTTACACTCAACATTGATTGATCATTGAAAATGAGTGGGCTGGGTTTTATGTTTTTTTTAACATGTGACCTACCCAATTGATCCAATGGTAAGACTGTAACAGGTTCAATTGTATTACAGTCTGTCTTTCTATCCTTTGAATATCTACACTTATCAAAGGGCACGTCTAACTTATCAAAGACCAGTGAGCTCTGCTTGTCTGACAACCCTGATAGGTCATTGGTACTGACAGATGTACTAAAAGGCCTATTAGCAACCTTTGTGTTAAAACACTTAAAATGTCCTGGCTGTTTATGTTGTAGATTTGTTTCAGCAGGTACCAGAGTGTTATGCTTTTCTGAAAACCATGAATGCTCTGTGGGACTCGCAGTTGTACCCAAAGACGTATTAGCCACCAATGTGTTTTTAAACTTCAAATGTTGTGGCTGTTCAGTTATCAGATTTGATTCAGCCGGTTCCAGAGTCTTACGGTTGTCTGACAAACTTGACTTGTAAGGGGTACTGCTGGTTGTTACAAACGGCTTCTTAGCAATCACAGTGTTTTTACATTTCAAATGTACTGGCTGTTCAGGTGACAGTTTTGTTTCACCAGGAGTCTTATGCCTGTCTGAAAACCCCAGCTGCTCACTGGAGGTGGAGAAACTAGTAGGAAGTAGTGACTTTTTACTTGCTGCAAATGAGTTTTTTTTCTTACAGGGCACCTTACTGAAGAGAGTGCGGTCCGACTTTGAACTGGTTGTTTTAGGTCGTCTGTCTTTGCCTGATTTAGTGAACCAAAGACCAGTCTGAATCTCTGGCTGCTTCTTCACTTCTTTAACAATTGTGACCAGTGGCTGAGTTGTAGTAAGCTTAGACTGACGTTCAAGTGCTTTAGGACACAAAATCTTAGGGACAGAGTCGATGTCAGAATATGGGCACTCTCCATTATCTCTCTCTGATTGGTCAGGACTATTACGCAATGTCTTTGACTTTTTGGAGTGTTTACTACAACTGTCCTTTGATGATTTACTTGGTTGCTTCTTTCCAGATGATTTATTTAAAGTGCTTGGCTTTGCTGGAGTTGTAATTGGGGGTGAAATGGACCCATTGGTCATGTAGAAAGTCTCAGGAAGGGTCGGTGAAGTGGAGGGAGTAAAAGTTGGATTGGCCTTGCGCTCTGTCTCCGGTGAGAAACTGTCTTGAAAGTCATCGTCTATGAACGAAGGAAAGGAAGAAGACATTTGGTGTCTTGCTTGGACAACAAATTCAGCTTCTGCCACACTGGATTTCCATGAGTCCTGTAAACGCTTTGCAATCTACGGAAAGATAAAGGCAAACACTGCTCAGTATTTTTATACATAGCAGTATAAAGAATAATGTGTTTATTGCAATGTTAGTTATTCCTGACCAAGTCTGAAAACATAATTGTTGTTGTCCAACATGATGATAACCAAGCAATGACGATGCTTTAGACCAACTTTTTATTAGGGCATGCCGAGAAGAAGTATTTACAGTGTTTTTGTAGTTCTGCTCCCGTTGCTTCCCCTTCCGGCGCAGTAGGGGGAGCTGATCGAATTCAAAGCCTCCGTGGAAACTGTGAGTTGATTTTTCCTCCACCCAGGTTAGCTCCAAAGGCTCCCCAAAGGTCCTGACATGGTAGAGCCGACTGGGCCGGTCACTGGGCTCTAAGACAACAACAAACATCAGTTTCAATCTCATGATACTCAGATTAAATACACATTGTTCTGTACAGAAAGTACATAAGTGCATCAACTAAGCAAAGGAAGCTTTAAAATCCAAGAAAACTAACAGTACAGGTTGATGTAATTAGGACTGCAAGAAACTATTATTTTAATTGATGCATCAGTGAGATAGTCAGTCTATAAAAAAAGTCAGAAATTGGTAAAAATTGTCAATGAGTGTTTAAGAGCCCAAGATATTTAATTGAATATCAAAGACAAGTACAGAAACTATAAAATCAGTGGGATCAGTCAAACCAATTGGCCATTTTCTTAAATAGTAAACAATAAATGTATGAATCAGTCTTTGCAACTATAGATGCAACTTATTGACAAATGATTCAAAAGTAATGTATAGTGAAAAATGAGTTAAATTAAGTAAAATTCCGTGTTTGATAGAAAAAGGTAAAATGGGAGACTTTAATTCTATATTTTACAATCTAACTTAAGGATTGTATTAGATGTTTTCTGGTATCGTGGTTCCTCCACTTGGCAACCTGACCAAATATGGCAATTGGCCAGCAATATGGTATGTCATAAATTATAATCTAAGACTATCTTGTTATTCTTTTTGTGTATTTTTGAATCACCCATCAGTTTATGCTATCAGCTGCTGATGTCTAATACAGGCGACCAAACAATCCACAGTGTACCACAAGGAAAACAATCATTGTACATTGTAGGTAATCACATGAAGTCAACAATGTCTCAGGCCCACCTTTCACTTTGTGATAGATTCCCTGTGCGGGGTCAACGGTCACCTCGCAGGGCCACCATGGTCTTCGGTTTAACTTTGCCCAAATAACTTCACCCTCTAAGAACTTCAGAGATGGCACAGCCTTTTTCTTGAAGCTGTTCTGCTGTTCAACATGACAATAAAGACAGAATATTACAATAAGACAAATTAGATACTGTTTTGTGTTCTGACCTATTAAGAGCTACAGGTGTGTTGGTTGAGCTTGTTATGTCATTTAATTGTCTGTGTTTACTGTATTGCATCCAAAATAATCTGGCCCTTGTGCACTCCTTGTGAGAGGAGTCAAATGACTTTAAAACATTTTTTTCTACTCATTTCAACCAAACACATAATTGAGAACACATGTTAGGTTTCAATGGAGGCCTGGCGGTCACTTAACCATTGACGGATGGTTTTTGTTATTTACTTATTTACAGAATAAACAGAGGCTGCCCCCAAATATATATATCCTGGTGTGGGCCTCTCCATCAAAACACCACGTACACAACGCTAGACACTACCGGTCACACTGGTATTGTGCATGCTGGCTCACTGTCACATTGTCATAATTTACTGGGGCATTAAATAGAACAAAGCCATCACAATGTCTTTAGCAACACCAAGGCTTTTCTTACTCAAACAAGTCAAAATGCTGTGTTAACATTGATTGATCTGTGAGCTGTTTTCCTGGGGAACTTGACGAAACATTGATTCACAAAAACAGATGCATCCAAGTTGTTATTTGTTGTTGTTTTGCTTTGGCTTTAGTGTCACCTCCTGAGCAGTGCCACGTTTTAGTGTGAATAATCTGCACCCAAAACAGGCGGAGAAACAAAAGCAGAACTTGTGGCAATGAATAAGCATTATGTTACAGGTCGTTTGCGGTAATATATGAACCCTGTGGAGGGTAGCCTCAGCGCTGACAAAACATATCCATATATGCAACACATAAAGTTTATATTAAATGGTTATTTTGGTCAAATAAATAATCTTTGTATAACTTTTATTTGGGGGATAATTATGCTTTATGTTTTTGGACTACATTTCCCATAAAGCTTTGGGGAATGTAAACAGGAAGTAAAACATTTTCATCTTCGAAGCACCATTTGGCATTGACATTTCAGCAAATTCATACCATTAAAATAGTGCAGAATAAGCAATTAGCAGTCCCTGTTTGCAGCGTACAGAAAATGATCACTTGATTACTTTGATACTGAAGAAAGTCTATGATTTCTGAGTGGCTTTATGAACATTTACTGAAAAGACAATGATATGCTTGCGTGGCGTAAGACACACTGAATGTAAAAACGCGTTCATCATGTCTGTGTGTTGAGATCTGACAAAGTTATTACTCAGAGAGGAGGTGTGATTTTTGCCATCAGGCCCTAAGGGGTTTTCAGGTACTTGCATTGCCTCCATGAACTGCCGCTCTGCAGCTGACTGTCTGATACTGCTGACAATAGGTGATTAGGCCAAATCAGCTTTCAATCCACAATAACTAACTTTCTGTTCACACCTGTGCCTTTCACATTTTGCATAGTCTCACCCTTCAGTTCTCCTCACAGTTTGAAAACCTCTAGAGAAGCTGACCTTCAGTTCTTTGTAAAAAATAAGTAAGAGAGTATTTATTTATCAATGACCGAGCTACATTTGTGGAGCTCTGACATCTCTGAGCCCACACATTATTCACAATGAGCGACATTCTGGTGAAAAACAGTGCATGTGTTCAGTATTTACAGTAATCCAGCAACATGGTAAATAAGTTCTAGTATTTTAGTAGACAGAAGGCGCGTTCACACCGCAGTACTTTTCCCACTTTAGTTCATGCAAACTTAGTTCATGAGAACTCTTTAGTTCTCATGAACTAAGTACGGATCGCGTTCACACCGGTCAAGTTCCTGGAGGGAGGATTAGGCAAATGAAGCCGCTGACGTCACTTCTTCTTCTTCGGGTTTACTGGCAGGCCGCAAACAACTTCACGGCGTCTACTGCCACCCGAAGTCTTCGGGCGGAAGTCCCCGGAGTTGGGGACTGGCTTCAGTAGAAGCTGCTGGGACTCCCAGCAGCGATTACACACGTCATCTATTGCACGTATGTCCGTCCTGGGAGAGGGATCCCTCCTCTTTTGCTCTCCCTGAGGTTTCTCCCATTTTTTCCCTTTAAACTGTGGGTTTTCTCCGGAAGTTTTTCCTTGTACGATGTGAGGGTCTAAGGATAGAGGGTGTTGTTTTTTCTCATACTGATATTCTGAACAATCGTGCTTATTGTATAAGCTGTAAAGTGTCTCTACTGTAGGCTATTTTTATTATATGTACAAAACTTTGGCTCGACCAAAAATCGTTTATAAATGTGCTATATAAATAAAACTTGATTTGATTTGATTCTACTGAAGCCTTCCGAGTAAATCGCCAGAACGACGACACCTCCTCATCTCCACCGCTCCCATGTTTTCTTTTGTGTTGCCATAAGTTAGTCTCTCTGCGTTTGTGCGCTGGGCTAGTGCTAATGCTAATAATGCAATGCGAGGATAATAAAATGGCGGCTTCACAAAACCTTTTTGGAGTTTTACGGGGCGTGGTTTGCAATCCGCCCAGCCAATCAGACATAGGAACCTTTTTCTCCCACGAAAGTATCTGCTCTCTAGCAGGGGTAAAAAAAAAAAAAAAGGGGGTAAAAAGTTTCTGATGAACTCATTTTAGTGTGAACGCGACATTTCTGAACTACATCGGAACTAATGGGAAGAGTACTGCGGTGTGAACGCGGCTAGTGTGTTCTTGTATTTTATACCTAATCAGTCAGGGATCAACACTTCCAGTTCGGAGTAGTATTCCTTTCTGAGCCAGATTTACAATGTGTATAGTTAAACATCCCCTCAATTTATTAGGGGTGCACCGAATGGGAAATTCTTGGCCGAAACCGATACCGAAAATAGGAAACAGTTGCCGAAGACCACA